GGTGTTATCAGCACCACACTCTCCCGAGTGAGCCACGGACTGGCCCAACACTTTATTTTTTTGAAGTGGGCTCAAGTATAACAGAAGCATCCATACAGACTAGTACATCTGAAAGTTGATTAACTAGAATATCTTTATGTAGGATTCAGAGTAAAATAAAAATGTTTTTCCCATTAGAGCAGATGAATTATTACCTAGATCTTGCCTTGGCAAATAAGACTGCTCCATTAAATCATGCGACTCAGACTTTTTGAGTTTCTGCTCCTCCACATCAATGACCTTAACGAGTTCCTCTCGCGATGGGCAGTTTCTGTTCTGTAGACTGCTGGAGTGGCTGTGCACATACCACCTATTATCCAACAACTGGGATTTAGAAGGGGAAGACCTAGAAAGATGGATGAAAGGAGAAAACCATCACCACCAATTGTGAAAGGATTAATCATACTTCCCAGGCAGCCAAAGCATGAGTGAAACAGTTCACTGTCAGAGAAATCATGAATGACTAGCAAAAAAGAGCCCATGTGACCGCCTAGAAGTCTGAATTCATGCTGCCTGCCAACATGTCATAGTTGACATATAACATCTCCCCTTAGGGGTTGGTCTGAGGCAGTATATCTTCTAGCTGTTTAAAAGCATGTCAGCAAATTTTACCAAATTATCCACTGCCACTCACTCAAATTCCATATTTTATTCTACTTGAGTCCAAATGGATGTTAAACACAGATCTCCTAACAAGAAATTAGTTGATTAATGTTGACATCTCTACACTCATTCTTTCTACCCAATTTTAGCAGAATTTATAGAATCATCCCTATCCCCTGACTTTTCAATGTCCGAAGTCATTCTTAAAACAAAAGCCAACTATAAAATATTGTTAGAAAAGTATAGTTCCTCTACTCTTTTAGGTGTTTAGAACTTTGCAAAATAATATACTTAATAGTTTTAAAGGGCCTCAGAGATTAATTAATTCAAACAATTATTGGGTGCTTACTATGAGTCAGGACCTAAAGCTAACCCCTGGAATTGAAGATGAGCAAAACCAGCTGCTCTCCAATAGTCTAGTAGAGAGAGGAAGTTCAATGTCTAGGTTCTATGATAAAAGTCTCTGTAAGTGGCTGGCTGGTTAGCTCAGTTGGTTAGAGAATGATGTTAATAACACCAAGGTCAAGGGTATGGATCCCCAAACTGGCCAGCCACAAAACAAAACAAACAAACAAAAAAGTCTCTATAAGGTAACTTCAGGGGGAGGAAGAGCAGGATATTTAGTCTGAATAGTAAATGGACAGTTAACTCACTTGGTTAGAGCATGCCAATGAGGTCATTACCTATAAAATGTGGCTTTGGTGCCTGTGGAAGCCAGATCTTTTCATTCTCTGTCACCCTAGCCTCAAAAACATATCCTCAGTCAAGTCCAAGGGGCTTGGAAAAGATGGTGTGATTAGATTATTGACAACCTGTTGCCATTCTTAGAAAGATAAATAAAAAATATATACATGCAGGAGGGACTCAATAAACATGAATTTCTTTTTCTTCCTAGAGTGGTGAGATGTGTGACCCTAATGGTTTTGTGTCTCTCCTTCCTGAACTATCAAATAGAAATAATACACTTGGTTAGAGCACAGTGCTGATAACACCAAGGCACCAAGGTCAAGGGTTCGGATCCCTCTACAGGCCAGCCACCAAGAAAAAAAAAAAAAAGAAAGAATTAATAGTCCTGAACTTATTCTTTTACTTTCATAGTCTTGTTTTAAAGATCAAATGAAGAAGCAGGCCAAGTATTTTTGAAAATATAAAGTGCTATACAGTCTTATATCAATAGTGATTTGAATACACTTCCCTGAAAGATAATCTGAATATTATATTTTCTTGGGAAATCAACAACTAAACTTTTTCTAGAGAGGCAAAAATTTCAATTAGGGCAAGGGCTGCCTTGGAGATGTCTATCATCAGCTTCTAGACTTGTCCAAGTTTTAGTTCTATTATATTATATTCTGATCTTCAGAAAGGACAGATCTATCTAACTGAACATTTCTCATGTTGTAGCTTATACCTTGTATAAGTCGAAAAAAGCCTACATAAAATTAAACAAAAGAAGTGTCCTATGAGAGGTATTATAAATGTCTGTGTACAGAAAACTGGAAAAAGTATGTGAAAAAATTAACAATAAGAGTTCAATATAAGTAAAGATGTTACTAAGATAACATAATGTGACATTTCTTACCTTTCAACTTCTCGTTCTTTATTTTTATTGGTAGAACTATCTGGAGATACTTGGAAGTTCTTAGCAGAAAGGCTTTCTGGATTCTGGTTTACAGGATATTCACTACTTTTCTCTGAAGTTAATACTGCTTTACAGGGAATGAGGAAACAAAGAAATCTACTTTACTTTTGTCCTGATAGTGATAATTCAGGTGAGGATACTGATTTTTTCAAAAGCAGCTGTGACAATCACATTGGTTTAAAACAAATATATCAGACAGAATTTTATAAACACAACTGATGCAATAGACAGATGCTAGTACCAAATGGAACTGAATTATTAAAAAAATAATAATGATAATAAGAGGAACCCTTTAAGACTGGGTAAACAGAGACATCCAAACTGACACAAGACTGAAAAAAACCATACATTTATATTTTTTGGCCATGGATGATAAGAAAACAAGAATATGTAACAAATTTTTGTCTCTGCAGCAAACTAAATTATACCCAAATCTCCTCAGATAATAAAAAAGAAAAAGTACTGGAAAGCACAAAGCACATTCCCTTTTCCATCTCCTTTTCTGCCTCCACATCAAAGACTTTATGGGATGGGGGTTTGAGCTTTTTCATGTGTGAGGAAACAGGAGAAGGGAATCAAATGAGAAAGAAAAAAATAGGTAATATGTTGCTTCACATTTTCAATTACTGGGGGAAAAAAAATAACCAAACAACCCCAAAAAACTAACACATGAACAAAAAAACCCAAGGTGCCAGTTGATAAGGAAACTTGAAATAATATGTGGAACTAATGATGAAATGGCACAAGAAGGGAGAAAAAACCAAATAGACCCAAGGCAAAGTTCAGGCATATTAGTACATTCTTTTTACTTATTAGTTCCTCCAAATGTAATATTGTGCCACTGCCTTCCAGGAAGTGGCTTAAAGGTAGAAATATTTAAAAAGCAAAACCAAATAGTTAAAAAACAAACGTCTTCTATCCATTTAAAAGTCACAGATGACTGGAATTCATTTTGAGCTTTTATTGGAAAAGCTAAAATCCATAAATTGAGGCTAAAATTTAAGCAAAGGGCTGTATTAATTATTAATTAAACTGTTTTTTAAAACACTTGTTAGCCCTGGAGGGGGGTGGAAATAACCATTGATTTCCTGAGTTAATCTTCAAATGCATTATTTATAGTTTCCTTTATGCTTGTCTTTTTTAGACCTGTGAGTTTCTTTTTTTTTTTTCTTTCCCTTTTTTGTCTTTTTTCGTGTCCGGCAACGGATTGCAACCCTCAGTGTCGCACCCATACC